GAGACCTAATGTCACAAGCGCGGGTACTGAAATACTTCAGGTTATTGGTTTGTCTTTCTCCACTCCTGAAGTATAAAAATATCTGCCTCTGGACAACTCACATATCCTTGTGATCATAGGATTGTTCGAAAAGAAAGTACCTCTTCAGAGTTAAGTGTCCCGCATCTTTTGGATTGGTTTTGATCTGCTGGATCTAGGGTACCAGCTGCTTCACAAACATTCTTCCTCCTTATCATCATCTTTTCATAACAAGTACAGGCAGTTAAATCCAGTCCTTTCCTGAAGGGACATTGAGGATTAAAGGCTGCACCTGCTGAATTATTTACAGCTTCCAACTTGAAATCAGCTGCCAACTTGAAATCAGCTCCCTCTGCAGTATAACGTACACCACTAGTGTTCAGTGACGGTATCTTGATTACACATTTCTTGCATTCTGAAGGCATTTTTCCCCCGCATTAGCGAGTCAGCTACTTGTGATTCTCTGTACAGTGGATACACTCTCCCAAACCAAACTTGGGCAAACCTTGCCCTTCCTGCATCAATGAATTCTAGATTTCCAGATCGCACTCTGGTTCGGTACATGAAGATCCTGTCCAGCAATTCAACAACGCAGTCTGCCATGAATGAATAATTGGGATTTCTGCAGTTTACGACTTACTTGAAGAAATGCGCTTGCGAAATGTCTACTGTTGTGTTAATTGTCAAGAAGATACTGCGAACAAACGATAGCAGGAGTTTGTTATTGATTCTTGAGCAATTCTGTACAATGTCCATACCTTGTGGTAGTCTGTTACCATCTTTGCACACTTTAGAGTGTTAGGCGACTTGGAAGTTGAACAAGATTACCATTTTCCTCCAGAACATGTCCCAGGTCAGATCTACAAATGCTTTTACCATGTTCATCAATTTCGATGTGACCTTGACCTGGCATGAATAGCACCCACTCAAATTCGCCTTTTGGAACAGCAGGGATACCTGCAAGAATATGATATTCCTGGCCTCAGACCAATTCAGAACATGGACAACC